GCGTCCATCACCAAGATGGACGCCGGCAGGTATCCATAAGATTGGCGCATATGCGCAATGGCGTCACGGCGGGGTGTCACCCGGAAACCACTCCGGGTAACACCCTGCCTCGGGATGCCCCTGGCTGTCTGGGCTTCACAGTCCTGGTGACAGTTGTACCTCCCATAACGTGTCTGGGTGTTATGGGGACAAATCCAATTCTATGTGATGCACAAGATCCATAAAGTAAATATAAAACTTCCTTTACCGCCACTGACTGAGCCAAATCCTACTTCATTTGTGTCTCACACGCTCTACCTCCCAGGCAGCTCACAGTGGGAGGGTTTCAGTAACAGTGGCAGCGCTTGCAATCCAAAAAGCAATGGGTGGGACTGGGTGTGGCCAGGTGCTGATTGATGAGTTACGAGCCAGTGATTCAACAGTGACAATGCTGATAGCCACGCCCCCTGCAACATCTGCTCCTATTGTAGTACAAGCAGGCACAGCCAGCATGAGGGTGACAACTCTGCTCTGAATTCAAGAGCAGTGCAGCATTGTTGCCACCCCCTCAGAGTTGCATTAGCAGGTTCAACAGGTATATATGGGACTTTGCATGGGGACAAAGAGAAAACTGTAAGCGCGGATAGACTTATAATGAAGTGCTGCAGCACATATCTCTTTTGTATCAGGAGGCCGTAGTTCTACTTTAAAGACAAATAGTTTGGGATTGTGTCGGGCTTTAATTAGCTGCAGTCACTGGTTAGATATGCCGACAGCCGCGGGCGCCAGCTGTCATAAAACAATAGTCGGCGGGGAGATTCTTCCATCCCTGATGTCGCTGGGGGAATCAAAAGATTTCTCTCATTTAGTCTGCAGGGCTGAACAAGAAAATCTCATGGCCAGCTTAACCAAAAACCAGCAGAACCTAATTTTTCGTGCGTTACAACACGTTCATTTTGAATGTGCTGCCCAACGCAAGGTGGCATGAAAACGCGTTCTGTTGCAAACGGCCTCTTTCGGTATTCTCCGTACATTTTGCCAGAACGGGTTATTTTTCCACTGACGTTTACTTGACATTAGCTGATTTCTGCATCGTTTAGATCTGCTTCGCACGCCGTGATTTCATTTGACATGTGACATGTTTGGGGAATATGGCTGCTGCAGCAGTGGCGGGGTTAACGCGCTCGGCTCCCCCAGCTGGAAGCATTTAAACATCTGGAGGGCCGGGAGTGGCCGGTCTCCAGGCGCAGGGTGTGTGTGTGAGCACAGTACAGTGTGCGAGTGGAAGGATTGCACACATGTGAAAGTAAAGCCACGTACATCGCCGTGGGAAGGCCCCGCGTTCACTTTGATGGCGTTTAAAAGCTGGTTCACACCTCCTACATTGATCAACACAGGCTGAAGGCAAGGACACACTCGTGCTCTGTGTACCCTGTTCACACCGTACAAGTGCGTTGGTGTGCATGTCTGCGGTTTTATGCAACACACAAAAATGCATTACAGTCCACAGCAGAGTCTCACAGTGTTGGCTTAAAGAAAGCTGATCTCCGGCCAAAAACTAGATTTGTAAATTGGCACATTAAATTACCATGAAGTGTGCCCCGTCTCTGTCTGCGGCGTGCCCCGTCTCTGTCTGCGGCGTGCCCCGTCTCTGTCTGCGGCGTACTGGAACAAACCCCGCTACTTCTGGGTACGGGAACAAACCCTCCACTTCTGGGTGCGTGAACAAACCCGCTACTTCTGGGTACGGGAACAAACCCTCCACTTCTGGGTACGTGAACAAACCCGCTACTTCTGGGTACTGGAACAAACCCCGCTACTTCTGGGTACGGGAACAAACCCGCTACTTCTGGGTACGGGAACAAACCCCGCTACTTCTGGGTACGGGAACAAACCCGCTACTTCTGGGTACGGGAAAACATGTGACTTTTGCACTCCCCTCTCCCACAATTCAGTGCAAAGTACCAATCACCAGGCTCGAGTGCAGTCACAGGATCACGGGGGGCACTCTCCCAGCCCTCTGTAGGATTTGACTTTGCTGAGGAGTTTTGAGATGTTAAAGTGGCAGACGGGATGGTGAGGGAGGGCGGACGAGGCAGGAAAACCTGAAACCACCTTAAAGTACCAATCTGTCATGCAATTTTTTTCTTTTTTATACAGAGACACTGTAAAGTAGCCGCCATGGATTTATACCGAGAAAATGTTTACAACATTAAAAAAAATTGTGCAAACTGCAGTTTTTTTCTTTTTTTTTTTAAAGCAAACGGTAAAACTGCCGAAATGTTTCAGTTTCCAGCCTGCTCTGGCTGCACAAGCGTCCCCCGTTGCCTGTGGCTCAGGGGATTAGTTGTGGCCCCTCGTTAATGTGTGATCACCTATTATTGGATTACAGTGTAAATATGTGTAAAGCCACACATGGTCCCCAGCCAGGGGTCTGTGCTCTCCGATCTGCTTCCGTCAGCGGTCTTTTCTCATGGCTGCACCTGACAATCGTGTCACCAGGGAGCCTGCGGCCTGCAGAGGCCCCTCTGTGCCCCCTTTCCCCCGCTCGCCTTTTCTGCGCCCCTCCACTTGTTACACCATCCATCTCCCTCTCTCTGCCATATATGGACACCGTGTCTGTAATCTTTCCTTATTCTGCAGCAAGCAATATAATCTCTAGTTAGATAGCGGCTCCAGACCAGATTAACCCCTTGACTTCCAGCAGGATGGAGGAGGTCAGGAATGTGGGACCTGGCTTATGGCCTGCAGATCACTGTAAAGTCATGTCTGCACCTCATGGTGATTTGGCCTTTCACATAGTCGCCTAAAGAGAACTTGTGGCCTTCTTTTTTTTTTTTTTTATAAACTAAACATGGAAAAGTTCAGCTAAATGCAAATAATCTTCTCAGTATGTGTCGCTTTGCCCATTCAGTGCAAAATGACAGGTTCTCTTGTAAGAACTATGGCAGCACAGTGGCTTAGTGGTTACTGCTTTGCAGCATTGGGTTAGCACTATTGCCTTGCAGTATTGGGGTCCTCCACTATGATTCTTATTATACAGGATTGATATAGCGCCAACAGTTTGCGTAGCGCTTTACAATATAAGGAAGACATTACAATCACAATACAATTCAAGACAAGATGGTAAGGAGGGCCCTGCTCTTGAGGGTTTACAATCTAAAGGATGCAGATGGAGTTTGTCTGTATGTGCGTGGTGGAGTTACCTCCGAGTACTCTGCCTTCTTCCCACACTCCAAAAGACATGCTGGTAGGTTTATCTGGCTCCTGTCCTGTCTAGAATTATATTCTAATGATCATGCCCAAGTTGGCTGCTTTGCCTGCTTTCTGCCCCAACATCATCTGTGCAGTAATCCAGTGTGACACTTGAAGCTTCCTGTAATAAAGACCAGTCACTGCTGCTCTCTCTCCTTGTGCAGAGTGACTTGTCTTGTCTCCGCCCCTCCTGTAATAAAGACCAGTCACTGCTGCTCTCTCTCCTTGTGCAGAGTGACTTGTCTTGTCTCTCAGTACCAGGGGACAGCAGATCAGAACTGGGGGGCAGCGGATCAGAACTGGGGGTCTCCTCATCCACCTCCATCTTTGCCATTCTGTCAAACCTACGGTCATTGTGGAATTTTTCTTTGAACGGCCCATCTCGGCCTTCCAACATGGCGATAACGGTCTCCTGTTCCTCCACCTGGAGTTTCACCAATTGGATCTCCGAATCCATGGAGCCGCGTCTCTGGCTGAACAGACCTACACGGTTCTTCCGTAGCCGCTTTAGCTCAGCTCTCAGCTTGTAAAGCTTATCCCTCTCCTTGTTCAGGGATTTTATGCCGGCCACCACTCTCTCCCGTACGGATGCGGCCCCTTCCCCTTCACCAGGGGCGGACAAATCTCCAGCTTCCGATTGCACAGGTGCAGGCAACTCGCTCATCAGCCCAGGAGACTGAGAGCTCCCAGCAGGAGAGGCCCCGCCGGCCTCCATGGCTTCCCCAGGAAGGAGCCAGGAGGGCTGGGATAGATGAAAAAAAACACAAGCTCTGGAGCAGTTTCAGGAACACACACCGCTCACTGCTGCTCTCTCTCCTTGTGCAGAGTGACTTGTCTCCACCCCCTCCTGTAATAACGACCGCTCACTGCTCCTCTCTCTCCTTGTGCAGGGTGACTGGTCTGGTCTACGCCCCCTCCTGTAGTCTTCTGCAGGCAGCCTGTAGTAGGTGGAGCCTGCTGGGCTCCTCCCACATCCATGCTGTCTGTACAGGCTATGTACAGCGCAATGATGATGTCATTGCTACTTATACAAGGTAAAATCTGGTTTACACCTACGGCATTTGGTGCACACAGAGTTGATTTATATCCTTTGTGGCTATTGAGGACTATAATAAATATATGTCTCTATTTGCCCAGAGTTCAGTTTCAAGTCCAAGAGCTATAGAAATACATACTAGAAAATAATTTAATATAGAACTCTCTACCCACTGATGGTCACCTTCGCTTCCCTTCCTCTTCTCCTGCATTGCTACTCCAGAACCCTGGTCCTTCCATGGAAAAGCATGCAATTCTCTGGCTTGGGCAGCCTGGAGGAACCAACCCTGTGTAAATCCGGGTATACACAGTATGAATTCCGTCAGATTGCTTATGAACCTATTGAAATTTGCACAGTGGGTACTGGGAGGAGTTGGGCACAACCAGACGCCTCTGACGCCATTTTGACAGCCTTTATTGCATAATGTGAAGGAGGAAATTTTGTTGTCCATATCAACCAATCAGATTTCAGCTTTCATTTCCTGTTCCAAAGCATTGCCAGCTAACTCTGTTCCAGTATAAAATTCTGTATTCCAGTATAAAATTAACTGCATTTTTTGGAAACTTTCTTTATATGTTTTTTATCCTCACATTGGGGCAGCATAGACAGGTTCTCTTTCAGACGCTTGCTTCCATCAGGCCTGCTGCCATTGTATTTTAAATTGGCTTTCCCACTCTCTCTGCTGTCATTGTTCCCTGCGTGACGCCATGTTCTGTTTTTGTTCCCACAGTGCGGTTCTTGCAGGACGTGTCTCCCTTCATCAGGAAAGCTTCCCTGGTTGGCGATCTTCCCTGGGACGGTTGTGACCTGAGTGGACCAGCGCACAACGACACATCTGGCTCCCCCAAGCACGGCTCCAGGGACTGCAAGGTCATCCCCTTAAAAATGTGCTACGCGGCGAGAAACCTGAGCATGTACGACCCCGAGGGACGGTCAGTGACAATGTGTGCGTGACACGGCTATTTCTGTATGTCGGTGTAAGAGGTACGCAATGGGTACCTCTCCTTCTCCTCTCTCTCCTTCTTACGTCCACATCTTTTTGCAGGCTGGTGGAACTGCGCTCTCCTGATGGGTGTCACTCCATCGTTCTCCGATGTAGGGACTCCGCCTCAGCGCTGTCCTGGTCGCAGGCCCTGCACAATAACATCACCGCGCTGCTGCCGCAGGTGCTGGCGGAGACGCAGTGCATGCTGGGAGCCGCCAGTGAGGACCTCAGGCACTTAGGCTGGGTGGCAGAACAGGTAAACCTCCACAGTCCTCGTGCAATTATAGCTGCAGTTAGGCCAATGGCTGCTGGCGGCCACATGTGACAATTTTCCAATACAACAGTCATTTATTTTTTCAATTAGATCAGATTACTAAAACGGTTATAAGAGAGAAAAATTGAGGCTGCCCCTGCTGCTGGCCTCTTTCTGTTATGCTTCCTACTTGGGTTCAGTACTGTAGTTAGGACTTCAATTAGATATATACTCCATTATTAAAGTAGTATTGGCCCTCATTCACACGGGTAACGGCCGGCCCGTACAGATCCGTGCGTGCACGGCCGTATCGGGCTGCTCCCGGGAAGGACAGGTGCTGCGTTTGATTTGTACGCAGCCCCTGTCCTCTGTGGGTGTCCCTGCTCAGACGCAGACAGGATGCATCGAGTACGGACACCCACACCCGTACGGACGTGCAGGTCGGGTGAGCGTAGGGTGGCGTACGGCGGCGTACTCCCATAGAGAAGGACAGTCTGCTGCGTACAAATCACACGCAGCACCTGTCCTTCCCAGGAGCTGCCTGATACGGCTGTGCACGCAGCACGGATCTATACGGGCCGGCCATTACCCATGTGAATGAGGACTTAAAGCAGATCTTTATCCGTTAGGAGAACTATGGGGAAAAGCCTTAATCCCATAGTTCTCCTTTTAAAATAACAACAAGCAGACCTTTGTAGATTCTAGACATAACAATCTACAAACACATACAGTACTTCTAGATAATTGCCGCCTTTGTATTCTTTGCATACCTTATTTCTCAATTCTTCCCCAGTCTTCTGTCAGTGGCCATGTTTACTAAGGGCAGATTACTAGTTCTCCTTTTACTTCCAGGATTACTGGCACATGTGACAAGACATGTGTCTAGGACATGTGACCATGCACATCATCTCAGGGGAAGAAAATGCCTTTCGCTGAGATCTCGTGAGATTACAGATGAGATTTCCTAGCAATGCTCTGCTGATGACAAGGCAATCCCAGCATGCATTGTGTTGGAAATCTGAAGTGAATGCTCCGCAAGTGGAAGTATTTCACGATCACAGCATTTTACACCTGACATGTCTGTTTTAATTAATCATCATACATAGAGGGATGCATTGGCAGAATTAGATTTTTGAGTGTAAAGGTCCGCTTCAAACTCTCACACCTTTTTCAGTAATGAATCCAGATCAAACAAATCTACATTGCACAGTGATGTCATTCTTTACATTTTTGCCCAAACACTTTACAGTCATCATATTTCCAGGCAGCTCCAAGTCTCTCAGCTTCCTGTCCAGTACAAGATCACAAAGGACAGCAGCTGCCTATCTACTATCTTAAAAAAAAGGTTGAGAGGAGTGGGGAGCAGAGGAGTGGATTCCCTTTCTGTATCTGTGTGTTTGTGGAGACACACAAAGCTTACTAGCAAACACAAGGGTGGCTCCATAGGACCCTGCAAGGAAGAGGGGTCACCCTAAAACAGGGTATCAGGAGACTGGCTAATTCTGCAGGGAACTAAAACATTTAAACATGAAGCAGCATCCATTGTAAGTGATTTCATCTGAAAAAGCCTAAAACATAAATTTGACTTTAATATCACTTTAAAGTCTTCTATAAACTTAAGGTAGACTTTAAAGCTATATAATGCCCCAACTTTTACATACTGCCTTCCCATTCTGCTGCATACCATTAGCATAAATTGGCATTTAAATACCCTTTTTGCATTTGGTTTTATATGTGGTCATGTGACTGCAAAGCCCCAGCTCCTGTATGATGTGCAGGTGGTAGGAGGGAATTTACTGCAAACCCCCCACCCCCCTTCGACAACACCTAGAGCAATGGACGCCAGTGACATCGCTGCTCTGTGGAATTTAGTCCTGTTGTCTGCCGTGCACGACTCCAGGGCTTTGTGGTCATGTGATTTCTTAGAAAACTGAGTAAAAAAAGGTATTTAAATGCTGATTTATGCCAAATAGTATGCAATGGGGAGCAGCGGGGAGGCGGCATGTAAATGTTAATGTCATTTCAAGTCCCATATTTTTAGATCTATAGCTTTCATTACAATAATACCCGGTGAGCCTGCCTTTCTTTTCTAGGGTGACAGGGTTCCGTATCTGCCTACCAAATGCTTTCCTGCGTTATCACTAGGGATGCACCGATACAGATTCCTGATTGGCCAGAAAGCCGGCTTCATGCATCCTCACCACGTGGTGACGAGGGAGCATGGAGACGGCTTCCCGGCTAATCAGGAAGCCGGGCGGTGAGTCATTACACGCCGCCCGGCTTCCTTAATGGGACTTCCGGTATCGGTATTGGCGAGTACCGAAAAAAGATATTAGTACTCGATACCGAAAAAACGGTAACAGTGCATCCCTAGTTATCACCCAGTCACATGCACTTCAGTGGAGACTATAGGCGGCCATATCAACACATTACTCAGGCATGGTCCACTGTTGCCACCATCAGGAAAGTCACCCTTAGAAATGCCATGCAGCCATCACTGGAGTGCATGTAGACCGTAAGTGACTGCAAAGAGGAAAGCAGTGTTCTATGATTTTTCTGATTCACAATGCTTTAGCAAGCTAAATGTCATACACTTAGGGTTTAGACTCGCTTGCAGATGTTCTTTAGTGCAGGTTTCACAAAGCAAGCAAACTCCAGATAAGAAATACCAGTTATGTCTATTCCAATTTATCAATGGCTTTCAAAGCATATACTGACTGTGCATGCACTCTGCTCAGGTGTCCCAGGATGATGGACGGGCAGTATGGCAACCAACCCTGGCAGTCGCCTCACAGAGGGATTTTCTGCTCTTTTGTGCTATGCCAAGGACGCGAGAGGAGTGGGCAAATCCGAAACACAAGCTGCCGCTTATATCCACCAGGTAAAGCATCACTGTCAAGTGTACCTGTCACCTCTGCATTAAAAGGAAAGCACAGGGAAGCGGGGACCAGTTTCAGAAGTTCTAGGCCAGGTTATGCAGCCCTGGTTCACTGTGGGTGAGAGGGAATATGCTGAACAAGTTCCAAAGAGGTTTCCAACGCACTCCTTACAGGTATGTCCCTTTTCAAAGTGGGTGCTGCTGTGATAGTGGATGGCGCCACTTCAAATCCAAATAGTAAAGTATATCACCAGCACACCAAAGTAGAATCTTCAACGAGTGGTCATTTTATTGATGTACACACATCTCTTCACACGAGATGTGCGCGCATCAATAAAATGACCACTCGTTGAAGACTTTACTTTGGTGTGCTGGTGATATACTTTGCTATTTGGAATAGGCTGAATGGCGCAATGCACAGCACACACGTGGTCAGCAAGCAGGAGAGACTCTGTCTGGGGGGATCAGCACTTGCTGCATCTTACTGACAGGTCAAGCTTTAGTACAGAGCACCCACAGTTTGAATCATTTCCCAGGATCAGCGGATCAAATGGGTGCGACTGGCACGGAAGATAATAGAAAGTTCCTTTTAAAGGGCACTGCAGTGTTTTAGGTCAACTTTACCAATTTCAATTGACAGGTTGCTCAAAACTTGGAAACGTGAAACCGTGGGTGATGGGTTGCTGTGGTTGAAATTTGATAGAAAACCTTTAACTGAAAAAGGATACCTGCACTGAGGAAGTGAGGTGGCACGTTGAACCAGCGGCTTCAGCACCATCTTTTCAGTACTCCATGGGAAGGGCATGCTTTAAGGCGATGAATCTCAAGCTGGCCATACACTGTTCTACTTATTTTTGTTCAGCCCTCGGGTTGAGCAAAAAAACCCGGAACAGATTCCTCCATCAATGCTATACGAGCGTTGATCGAGGAATCCATGCTGTTTGTTATGTATTCTGATAGCAGCTGCCGGCCACTGTCAGAATACCCCAACAGAGCCAGCAGCTCATAGGCTGCCGGTTCTGCTCATTCGAAAATCTTCTGACCGCCTCCTTTGATGCCAGCCGAAAGGGTGCCGACAGCTGCACCCACTGTGCGAATTTCGTCCAGTTCCTGAAGAACCGGACAAAATTCACATAATGTATGGCCAGCTTTAGAGTCATTGACCTGGAACAAGTATGCAGATCAGCCATTGTTCGGGGTCAGTGGCTCAGAAGCCGGAGACAAGCAGGCAACTAGCAGAAGTGGGTCAGCAATGCCATTGTTTTTCAATACAATTTTTAAAGTGCATCTGAAGCCAAAACACCCATCAGGCTTTTATTGCTGTCTGTGTCTGTGTCCCCGTAAGGTAGATTGACCAACTGGTGACCGTTATTACTAAAGGTGATAGAAAATCCTAAATTTTGGGTTGTAATCAGAACAGGAATAGATGGGAAATCTTGTAATGGGGACACTAGTTCTGGTAACCCTGCTGACCACCAGGGATTTCCCTCTCATTTGAGGGATTTCCTTTCACTTCCTGTTGTGGCTATGGGGCAGGAAGTGAAGAGACATCTCCTCAATGGGACACAAATGGTAACAAAAGCTGACAGGAGTTATAACCCTCCCTTACTCTATTTAAAGGTAAAAAAAAAGTTTCAGGTTTAGTTTTACTTTAAGTTTTCTATAGGTTGGACTCGATGGACTTGTGTCTTTTTTCAACCTGACTAACTATGTAACTATGTAAGGTTAACCCTGCCGAGTGCACAATTTCTTTTTTTAATTTCCTCTATGCCATCCGCGCTGTCAGTAAAGGGGTTCTCATTGAATAGTGAAGGGAAAGGTTTGGTTTACTGCAAAAAAAAAAAGTCAAGTACCCTTATTAGCATGCAGTTAGAATTAGGGGAGCGGACTAACTAAATATGCAATGAATAGAACGTTGAATTTGATTGGCTGGTATGGGATGGTGCGGTTGTCTCATTTCAGAGTGTGTGATAAGTAAGGTTTGTGGTGTTCTGAGATCCTTTCAGTCATAAGGCCTTGCTTTCTTTTGTTGTGTATGACCGCTCTTTTGTGTTCATTCATAATCTCTTCAGCTTCCTGTTCAGCGGAAGAGGAAGCATTGCCTCATATATTTACAGTCTCACAATCTTCATTTTTATCTCCCCTTTGTGTGTTTATGTCATTACATGCATATTTGTGCATGAAGATCTTTCTAGATTGTTAGTCTGCTGGACGGATATCTTTGTAACGGGATTCTGTAATCTATAATGACTTTAGATTAGTTCTAGTATAATAGTTTGTTTTTTTTCTTTTAAACTTACAACATTTTAAACTGATGTTTTTATAGCCATTTTCTTTTTCTAAAAAATACTGTACATGAGAAAGGATTTTATGGGTTAGTTAGAGGGATGGCATGGACAATTAGCTCCTTTTCAGGCACACACTCTTTCATTAAAACCTTAGTCAGAGCCAATGGTCAGGACAAATAGACCTTCCTAGCGGAGACACAAATCGGAGTTAAGACCGCTCCTCACATTATTCAAAACTAAAAAATGTTTGAGCTCTAGATACTCTTTAGATCAGTGGTTCTCAACTTGTATAACCTCAGGACCCACATTTGTCCTTGGTCATTAGGTCGTGACCCAAGTCGCACCACACTGGAACGCACGACATTGCAGTACCGCATGTTCCGGTGCGAGCGATCAAACTGTGGGCGGGAGGTGTGTTTGGGGTGCCATTCAAAAGAATTGCAACACACCGCACCTTCCACACCAGAATGAACAGTAGGTGCCATTGTATGGTAGTTTGCGATTAAAACACTGACAGACACACACAACCACAGACATTCTCACACACACACACACACACACACACACACACACTCCCAGACATTTTTTAGGGGTTCCATGTGGGCTTCTGTGCTGTGATGAAGCTCCATCCATATGTGCATTGCTTGTACAGCTTCCTTGCACTCCCTGTAGAGGTGCTGGGAGCCAGAATGCCAGATATCACTCTGGCCACGCGAGGGAGCTGTAAACAATGTACGTATGGATGGAGCTCCCTCGTGGCCATCCCCCCAGCCCACCCCACCTCAAGCTGACACTTGAATGGCTGCTCCCCATGAGAACTGGCAGTGCTGCGCTATGGGGGAGGATGAGGAGCCTCTCGCCTAGTGCAGTGGAAGGCATGCGGTGACCCACTGAACATGGGGTCGCGACCCACTTTTGGATCACGACCCAGCAGTTGAGAACCAAGGCTTTAGATGTTGTTATAAGTGATTTTCCAAAAGACGGGACAATTCGATTTCAGAACTAAGTGAGCTCTGGATAAATGCCAGTATCACATGGTGGCAGGCCTGTATGTAAAGGCCTTATATAGTGGGTCTTACAGGAAAAGTTCCCTTCAGACCCTATTCTCCTGCATGTTAGTAATACACTAACCTGACATTTAGCCACCTGCTACATTGTCCAGGACATACCTGCAGGAGTAGTCAGTCAGGTAGTTAGCGCTCCTCTTTTCAGAATCTTCCCTGTCTTGCACCTCTTCCCCTGTACATGCAAGGCCCAAACTCCACTGACATCATTAGAAATCATGAAATGGCGTTTGGGAAGTGTGTATGCAGGGTATGAGCTAAGGGGCTGAGATGATCCGGAAGAGGTTATGTATGGCTGGGCAGATACATATTAAATACCCTATTACAGAAATGTTGGGGTGGGTGGGGCTGAAAAAGGATAAGTCCACAAAAAAAAAAACTTTACCCATAAGTCTTCTGGGGTAACTTTTTTGCAGATGTTTCCATGCGGGCAATGCCGGACATCTCCCTGCTTGTATTTACTGCTCCAGTGAAGTCACAAATACATTTTATGGATGTTGTTTTACGTGTGGAGGGTTCTTTGTGTAGCAAGTGTTTGCTTAGAATGTGTCTAACTGCAACTTCACAATCTCCTTCCAGGTTGGTGCACTCGGGTCCCGGGCACACTGCCCCCTCTCTGGGACCACATCTAACATTTGCCACCCGCACAGGGTGTCCTCAGGGCATTGAAATGCGCGTCTTCCGTGTGGAGAATCAGAGAGACCTCTCTGCGTGGACACGAGCGTTGGTGCAGGGTTGCCATGCTGCAGCAGAAATCACAAGAGAGGTCACCATCAGTAAGTGACGTTTCTTTATTTGAGGGACACTGCATTGTGTTGTGGGATAGCTGGATACAGAGAGAGACCAGCTACATGAGTTCTAGGAATAGGGGCATGTGGGAACCCTTCTGTGTTGTGCATCACTTAACCTAACAGGTGATAAGAAAGCGGGTTCCATATGCGTTTGGTTGGGTCGGTATTTTGTACCCGCCATAGTACTACAAAGGGAGCTGAGCCTTTGTAGCCCTTGTGTCCTAGGCTTAGCCTGTACATAAAACCTTATTGCCTGGAACCTTGGAATTCTGCCCAAACCGTGTACTTTCTTAGCACTAAGGGGTACTTCCTGTTACTCGACTGTCAAATGGCTAAACTTTGGTGGGTTGTAAAGACTCTGGCATTTGACCATTCATGGCAAAGTGACATTGCATGTGCCATCCCCATGACCCACTAGTACTTGCCTTTCTAGCAATACCCCACTGCTCCTCCCTCTACCTCAGCCAGCACAAAATGCCCAGTGCTTCTGGGTATGGGGGAGCATATGACCTTCTCCCATGTTAGTGTTCGGGCCTTGCAGCCTTTTCCTAGGCCTGAGCACTGTCACATGATGGAACTGAAGGGGTCACTGCTCCCTCTAAACTCCATCATCAGCAACATTGGGTATTTTGGTGCCAGCTGCAACGGAGGAAGAAGCAATGGAAGATTGCTGGAGAGGTGGTTATCAGTGGGTTTTCCTAGACACTCGACAACACGAAATCACCTGCTCCCCATACAGCGTACAGACCTCAACGGAGGGTTGGTGCTTGAAGTGACAACACGCCGTGTCAGATACAGTCCATAATAGAAGTATCCAGCATTCGATGATATGTGCAAGAAGTAAAGCACGTTTTATTAACTTGCCATGCAGGGTCGCTTCTTCTGAGTGACATAGTGACAACCTGTGTTGTCACTATGTCGCCCGGAAGGGACCCTGCGTGGCCCCGAAACGTTGGCTGTATGACGCATGTGACAAGTTAATTAAGCGGGCTTTACTTCTTGCACATATCTTCGAGTGCTGGTGACTTCTATTATTTTCCCCAGACACTGTCACTTTGCCCTGAATATTTACTTGCGTAGAAGTCTGGACCCTAAGTACTGCCTAGGACTAGGATCCAAGGTGCTTCAAAGTGATACAAGGAGTGACTTGGAGATCACCACAGGTACTTGCAGGGTGCAGTACTTTTGGACTTTTTAGGCCAAGTCAAGTTCACTTTAAACTAGGGCTGTTACTGATTACAATTTTCGTGTTCGATTAATCGAAATTTTTTTTAATCGATTAATTTTGATTAATTATAACGCACATACAGATCCAACTACATTGGCCTATACACATACCGCACAGCAATGAAGCAATAAAATGAACTAGGATCACACTAATCCAGCACATTATTAATCTCACGTTCCCCACTCAATATGGCCGCCGCTTGAGTGGGCCAACTCAGAATAATAACGTGCTGGATTAGTGTGATCCTAGTTCATTTTATTACTTCATTGCTGTGCTGTATGTGTATAGGCCAATGCCTTGGCTGGCGCTCATGCAGAAAGTTTCAAAAATGTTTTAATCGATCAAAAAGATTAACGATTAATCGTTAATTTGCACAGCCCTACTTTAAACATTTCTGCTGTATTGATGTGTTTATAATCCGTCAACAGATTGCACTCTGCGTGGGGAAGCAGTCTCGCTCTCCATCCACTATGATTCGGGGTTCACAGTGTGTCGAGGAGGCCCATCAGGGCCCGTCATTCACAGATACCCTTTTGAAAAGCTCAAAATGTCAGCCGACGATGGAAGCAAACACCTTTACCTGGACTTTGGTGGACCAGAAGGAGAGCTGGTGAGAGTTGTGTTTTCTATATATTAAAGCAGGACTTGCGTCAAAATGTAAGGTCAGCTTATATTGTAGACCCCCCTCCTCCATATGAAAGAAAAAACATAAAACAAAAAAAAACACACCTTAGAAGAAGAAACAAAATTACTCGCCTTACACCCCGGCTTCCAGCCCCTTCATGTAAGCGACGGTGGGTCACTGGGAATACTGAGGACCCTAAATCCCCAGCACTGTGGTGACATTGCTAGGCCATTCTCACTGTAAAAATAAACACTAATGAAGTGTGTGCGATGTGCGTCCGCTGCTGCGTTATGTAATACTCTTACTTTCATTTCCCCCTTACAGTACAATCTGCGCCAAACGTTTAGCTTTGAAACTCTCAGTTCCGGCTGGAGTACACAGATCACAGCGGGTCGCTCAATCTGCAGTTAGTCTATTCCAAAAACATCTTGCATTCTTTTTAATGAGTGCAAGGCGTTCTGTGATTGCAGGAGGTCCAGATGTTGTCCAGACCTTTTTTCTTGTTTGGTTTCACATAGCTCTCATTTCTTACCTCATGTTAACCACATGCCACATGTTGAGGGTATGTGGCCTGGTATGGGGGGGGGTTCACACGCTCGACTTCCTCCCCTTTCCTGGGGATTTTACAGGGGAGACAACACGCTTTCTTTTGGGTTTTTTTTGGCTAGAGGATCAGAGAGGGGAGGGGGGAATCTCTGCAGGGAGCCGTGAGTGACAGTCACGGCTCTCTGCAGGGATAGATCGAGAAGTGAGCGAGCGCCGGTATGTGTTTGCTCACTTCCCGATCTACTGAGCCGACCTGTGACAGTTTCATTGTCACAGGTCGGCTCAGATAATGAGGCTGAGTGAAAATCACTCGCCTCATAATTCTCCTTTTTAAGGTGGGTTGTGGTTCACTTTTCAGCAATGCACCGCAGGTCATCTGAAGTCACCATCGGTCACCGCACAGCAGCTCAGCTGCGGTGAAAAGAAATGAGTAAAATGTCATTTTGTGACCTTCTGATAAAGTTAGAAAAAATGTAAACGGTGCTTTGCATTGTAACAACGCAAGTCACCACCAGTAGAGACACTTTATATAGGACACCAACCCACATGGTAAAAAGATGCTTGTTTTAGTGTGCGGGCAGGTGTGAACGGTCGTTACGCTGGCCATACATGGATCAAATTTAGGTTTGGCCAAAATTCATGGGCGGCCCTGCTGGCGACCTTTTTGAATTTACTTTTGTTAGAGAAGCCGGGTGGAAAATTGTCAGACGAACAGAGACTGAAGCACATCACCTGCAGTCACGCTTTGTGTATTCTGACAGCAGCGAGCCCCGGCTGTTACAATACATCAGCCCAGGATGGATGAGGCAATGATAAGATTTGTCTCGTTCAGCCCCATGGGACATCCTATAATGTATGGCCAGCTTCCGGCATGGAACACCGTATGATTGAGTATGGTGATGGCGCTGCTTTTGATGGTATTTTGGAGATGTCACATGTCACGTGTTATGTTGTAGGCTCATGTCACTGGGGTGTATTCTATGTTACTGTTATTGTATGATACAGGATCTACATGTGTTTCCTCATCTCTCTGTCTCTTCTTGCAGCCTTTGGATCTGCACACAAGTCCGAAGCCTGTTGTTTTCCTGTTGCACACATTCCTTTCTGCTAAAGTCACCCGGATGGGTCTGCTGGCCTGACCCTACGCTCAGCAAACGCACGCTTTTTATGCACGGGGCTCTTCTTTGCAATCAGTGCCTTCCAGTGACAAATCAGGAAACGCGGGCAGGAGGCCCGCTCACACCCCAAATTTTTATCTGGGCAGACGTACTGCCTCACAACAGCTTCTGATAGAACTGTGCAGGCCAACCCTGACGCAACGGCGTGGCCTGACCAGGCTCCGTGCTAGCTAATTCCAATCGGGATCGGGCCTTTATGGACTAAACGGTTGCATTTTTAAAAGAACGTTTCATTTTTATCACTGCAGTTTGTAAAAAGCTAATCTTATAAAAAAAAAAAATGTGCAAGGTAAGTGCTGGCCTAGGAGCGGCCATCTTGCCTCGGAGATACAGACGTGAGGTCATGTATCCTTTTCACTACAGTGACTACATATTTTTTTTTTCCTGTGGGAATATGAAGCCATATTGTTTTCTTATGACCAAAGTGCCTTTTATGTTATTGCTGCCTTAAAAAAAAAAAATGTGTAGTACACACAAACCATATTTATAGAATATATAAATATATATGTACATTATATATAGAGTAACACAAGACATATGAGCACATAACACAAAATTGTGATGATTTTTTAAAGACATGTACTGGGACCATCACATGACTCTGGGTCGGTTTAACCAAAGAAGATTCTTTGCAGGGATTTAGGTTATGCGTTTGCTTGAAGGGAAAATGTATCCCACTTATAAGCAGGGTTTATACTTCATTGATTTTTCTACCAGTGTTCGGTCAGGTATACGGCATGTGTTATTTGCACATATTAACAATGTATCTGCCTCTTTGCATTCCTATACCGTAGCTTTGCCTGTTACAGTGAATTTAAAGTGTACCTGTTGCCGACGGATGGGGACAGGCAGCCACGTTGGCTGAACTGCAAGCTATGCAAATTTGTGTTAGAGATGAGGGGTGTTTTAATGAATTTTGGTTCAGCCGACAAAATGGCTGCCGCCTCTGTCAAGTTCTGTCAGGAAACCCTTGTAGAACAGTGCCCCCTGGTGGCCGGTAGTGGGGGTTGAATGCTGCATTCCAAAGCTATCATGACTTTCAGAAGTGATCCGTCTCAGATATTTTCTTTAGTAGACCGGTCTTGGCTGACGGCTTGCAAAGGTTGGAAAATATGTTGGTGGATTCCCTTGAATTACAGGTAAGGTGTATGTTAGAGCCCAATTGTAGTCTAAGCTTTTAAAGGTTAGGTAACATCAAGGAACATAATTAGTTAATCCTTCAATAGTAGGGATGCACCGATACCGATACTAGTATCGGTGCCGATGCTGAGTATTTGGGCGAGTACTTCCGGTATTGGGAAGCCGGACAGTGAGTCATTTCACGCTGCCCGGCTTTCTGATTGGCCGGGAAGCCGGTTCCATGCTCCCTCGTCACTTGTGACGAGGGAGCATGGAGCCGGCTTCCAGGCCAATCAGGAAGCTGGGCAGCGTGTAATGACTCACTGCCTGGCTTCCTGATTGGCCAGCTTCCCGACCAATCACCAATCAGGAAGCCGGGCGCAGTGTAATGAAGCAGCGCCCGTCTTTCTGACTGGTGGATCGGATGGGGGAGGGGGCGAGTTCAGCTGGCTCTGCCTCTAGATAGGCAGAGCCAGCTGTCACTCACGCAGCTGGGCAGATCCAGACATAATTTTCGGGATCCGCTCCGGCGTCTCAGTATATAGTGAGCTGTAGCTTGCGGTATACTGAGCTTAGGGTGACGGGAGGACGCTAGTTTGTGTCCTCCCGTTACCCTAAGGAGAACTATGGGGAAAAGCCTTAACCCCATAGTTCTCCTTTAAGCATCGGCTACAATTGGACTTTAACATGCTTTGCACTAATGTGCATTCTGAATGTGTTACATCCCGGGATTTACGTCACTATGCAAATACTGGTGTATACTTGTGAACAGCCATTGACTTCTATGGGAGGCTGTAAGTAGCACCTGTGGCTCCCTGGCAGGGGAGGGGGGAATAAGCTGGAGTTCATATTGTATGTGCCCAGCCACTTATGTGCATGTGCCCTATGTGCAACATGCATGACTTTTTCCCCAAACCCTGTAATGCAACATTGATGGGACAAGCTCAGTTGAAAACAGCACATCTGGTGTGAATGAGCCCATAAAGTCAACCTGTACTTTGCCTAAATAGGCCCCAATACAGATACACCGCTCAGCAGGTATCATAAGGTGCCAATACTTTCCTGTGCTATTGCTTTGTCATCCACCTATCATGCCCAGAGGAATTCCAACCCACTAAGAGGAATCGCATGACACTCTTCCCACAATTCAGTTCTCTGTTCTTGATCAGTCAATGGCCAAGCCTAGGCTTGTGTACTGGGAACAGTGAGGAGGGAATAGCATGCCAAAGTAGCACCAAATAGAAGGTACAATGCAGAGGAGACATCAGCTTCTTACCTGCACCCTGCTAAGTGCTCTGCATATCAGCCTGTAAGCTAGTTTGGGTCACACCACTGTTCTGTGTGACAACTAATCACGAAACATGTTATTTGGTGTATAAAGAATTGTTTTTAATAAGGTGATGCCCCCTCTGCATTGATCATGATTGTCTACACTGACACCTCTGCTACTTAATGGGGGTTTTTTTTTGTATGCAATTCCCTACGAGGGATGAGCTCGGGTTGTGTTCAAATTGGAGTTCGTCCGAACCTGGAAGAAAGCTGTCGGTGCCGGCACAATCGGCTGCAGCCAGGGAATTCCCCGCCCCTTTTGTTTACATCCAGCACAGGTGCATGCCACCCCTTTGTTTACGTACAGCTGCGAGGCAGCTGATTGGAACTGACAGCTTCCTCTCAAGTTTGGACCGAACCTGAGCTCATCACACTCCCCTACTACCCAACCATTGAGTAGTTTCATGAGGCGACCGCCCCCCAAAAAAACCTTCATGGAGACAGAAGTAGTCTCCACAAGCGAATTACCTCAGGGTGTGCACCTCACTTATGAGGTCATCGGCAACCTCACCATATGTGAGTTTTTACACCTTGATCTCGAATAGATTCACAAATGTCGGTTGCATTACAATACAGCACCAAAGGGCTCTCCTGCCTTCTCCTCTCTCGTTCCTTGCATACGTCTCACCTTTACTACCCAGAGATCATACCAGATCCTAAGAACAAGGAGGGGCTCCCTGAGCAGGGTTTGAGACTGCCAAGTTTACCTCTCCAGCATCTACCAGAAACGTGGGTGGACTGACCCTTTAAAGCAGGGGTCTCAATCCTCCGGCCCTCCAGCTGTGGTGGAACTACAAATCCCAGGAGGCATTGCAAGATTCCCACAGCCACGACTCCCGGAGAGAGATGCATCATGGGATTTGTAGTTTCACCACAGCTGGAGGGCCTGAGTTTGGCTACCCCTGCTTTAAAGCAAGCCTGTCATATTTGTTAAGCTTAAAAGCTGATCTAAAGCATTAAAAACAAACAAATAAGAGTTGTATGTACATACCAGTCTTTATCCCCTTGCTGGAGCGGGGGATGCTTTGCAGTCAGCCTTGCACAGTCCCTGCATCCACCAGGACAGGACACTAAGCCTTGCTAATCTATAGTAAGGAAGGTGTTGTAGGGGCATGTGAAAAAGCTCTAACTCTGAAGCTGGAGGTCAATGTGATCATTGAACAAACCGGGTTTAGGGGCTCCCCGGGCCCTCAAAAGGTGTGCGAAGGTACCTCTGGGAGTCCACTAGACACCTAACAGTCATCTCATGGTGGAACTATAAAACCATGGGATCGTTTTTTTAACTTTGCAGCTTTAAACAAAAAATCCTTTACTACAGGCAGGTGCCTAATACTACTACTATGCACTTTTTGTTTTGCCCAAATTCCAGGTCGGCTTTCACACTTACTCCACGCGAACGAGGTTGCAAGAAATGTTCGTTATTTGCTAATAATGTCCTTGTCCTGGCTCTTGGGGGAATGACTTACGGTTCCCAGTTTAGGATGTTTCGTGCCAGTGAATTCATCTCCCCCCCACTCCTCCTCTGCCTGACGTTTCTTAATAATGGAGATGTTGTTATCTAAAGTACAATTGTAACCGTAATGATAAATTACCTTTAGCACTGTCATTTTACCTGCAGCCTCCTGGCACTGAGTACCTCCTGCTATGCTGATGAGCTGCTTGTTTAGCGCCCTCTAGTGGTGTCCAGTTTGTGTACGGCAGGTAGGCCATCATGGCATTTTTCATATGCTGCAGGGACAGGAACACATGCATGGTGTTTAGTAAAATTGTAGTTATACTTTAGGCTGTATTTACATCCCGTGTGTTGCCCTTAGCACGTATAGTCACGCACTAAAAACACTTGAGTTGAAGTGTGGTGAGATGCGTCTTTATTTAATGCATTGCGTTACAGCTGGAGCCAAAATATTGATATATTGCTTTCCGTAAACTTATAATTACAAATAATGCTGACGGGTAGTATTTTTATGACAGAAGAGACCCTGCCATAAATGCTGCCTGTCCGTGTTTGTGTACACTGAGCCGTGCATACGCAGTTCAAGATCCTTGGGTAAGATCCTGTGCCGAAATTGAGTAAATGTGTGAGAGTTGCATCATCCTGGCCAATCAGGCACCAGTGGAGGAGAAGAGCACAGACATTGCGACGCTGGAGGGTATTGTCTGTAAGGTAAGTCACCCATAATGTGCTATTATGCCTTGCATACTAGCACACATGGGTAATACCTCCTGGGGACCAGCTGTTGCCATGTTTATGTTGGCGGTTTACTACTGCTTTAAGGCAAGTTGTCATGCATTATGCAGCCGCCTATTGCATTTTTACCCATTGCACACCAACGCAGCGGTAAAAATGCAATAGGCTGCCGTTAAAACGCAGTGTAGGGAATTTATCATAACTGGAGCAGACAAAATCTGGAGCAGTTGCCCATGGCAACCAATCAGCATCTCTCCATTTTGTTCAATTAAGATTTGAAAATGAAAGAGAGAAGCTGATTGGTTGCCATGCACAACTACTCCAGATTCTGTCTGCTCCAGTGTTGATAAATTCCCAGTGACCTGGGCCTATTGGAGACAATAGATTTCAGCTTCTCATTGTGTTGGGCCGGCGTTTAGAAACACAGCTCAAAATTGTGTGTATCTTCCTGCACTCCTTACCGGATCTCCTAGGAGATGATGTCTGTAATTGGGTGCTTGTAGTGACCACGGAG